AGATTTTATTTTTCTTAAATGCATCATAAAAATTCCAAAACACCTTAAGCTGAAGTTAAAAAGCTTAAAAAATATTTATTTATTGAGGAGAGCTAGAAGTGGATTCAGATATAATATAATATAATATAATATAATATAATATAATATATGGGACCATCCACTGTGGTAAAACATATGCTGGATAAGTTGGCAGTTCATTTTAATAAAGGGCCTAAGTAGAAAAGGAACATGAATGAATGAATGAATGAATATATGGGTAGTATGTTAGCTTTACGGCAGGAAAGTCGCTGGTTTGAGCATCGGCTGGGTCAGTTGGTGTTTCCGTAACTGTATTTTCATAGGTCATAAATATAAAAAAATGAAGCAAAAAATATAAACAAATAAAATATAGATAATATAGTGCGAAACCAATCAGTGCATGACAACAATGATAATAATGTAATGATATTAATAATGACAGTAAAATGACAACAACAACAATAACAATAAAATCAATAATGGGGTCATTCTGACTGCAGTCTAATAAGTTTTATAATACAGTCAAAGCTCCTGAATGATTAAGACTTTATATTTTAGATTTAGCAATGGTATAGATGATAAATATTGCACACTTCACACCAAGCACACCTCTCATCCCTACACTGTATAAAAAGTAAACCATCAATTACTCCTGAGAGCATTTGTGTTTTGGTCATAGTAACTTATTAAACTAAGTTATTCATGTTCTAACTTAATTTTAGATTAATTGTAGGTTAGCTTAACATAATTTAAAATCAATGGACTCATACGGTTAATTTTATTCATCTTAAAAAAATAAGGCAACCAGGATTTTTTATTTTTTTTTTTACAGTGTACTTAGACCCTTTATCATAATCACCATCACTGTGTTAGCATTGCATAGTTTTTGCAGCAAGCACAAGTAAACCTGAAGCATTTGGCAAGCTTCATCCATCTGACCACCACGTTATCCAGGAAAACACTCTGCATGGGTTATAAAAGCACAGAAGGTCTCTCTCTCTCTCTCTCTCTCTCTCTCTCTGCAGGAGCACTTATCATTTCCCTGCTGCAAACCCTTTTTTACGACAAGCGCTCTGCCATGTGGATTTGCTATGGCATCTTTATGCTCTAAATATATAGTGGCATTAACTTCTCTGTTGGTAGAATTTGTAACCCACAGGTGCGCAGATTACATCAGTGGCTTTTATTCGGCAACAAAATGCTCAGGTCTGGAGAGTTTCGCTGATGCATTTGGTAACAGAATGCCGGGTGACTATCATAGCAGTTTTCCATAAATGCTGCACAGTGAATCTTGTTCAGATTTATTTGCATGCGATCAAATTTCTGGTGTCTCATTGTTGGCCGTGGCCCGTGGCAGTGTTGCTCTCTGGAGTTTAAAGCGGTCTAAAGCGGGGATTGGCAGTGCTGCGTGTCCCCTAGAGGGCCTTTCTTTTTGACTGCCCCCTTTAAATCATACACAGCAGGGCCCCACCGACCCTCTGTTTGTTATTTCAAGGGAATTGACGGCCGTTAGCGTGGATGTGGATCACTCCCTGTACGTGTGTGTGTGTGTCGGTGTGTTTGTGTGACTAATATCAGCATCAAAATGACCTACAATAGAAACAGATCCAACTAGATGTCTAAAAAAACAGCATATTTTTTTAAGGGATTCTGGGTATTTAGGCTTGTATGGATACTTACAATGTCAATGATGCCTATTATTAAAAAATGTAACTTTTTATTACTATCATTACATTACTATCATTGTTGTCATTACCTACCACTGACTGGTTTTGTTGTATCTATATTTCAGTATACTGTATTTATATCTTCAATGTAAAACCCCAAAGTTAAGGTAACTCAAACCGATTGAGGAAACCAATTGCAACAAACTATTTAAGTTCAAAAACTAATCCTTATGAGTACTTTGAACTTAATCCATTTGAGTAAAAGAAGCAATAATTATGGAAAGTAGTAAAATATATAATGCATTATGTTAGAATGTACTAAATGATGATTTATGATGATTGTACATATATACAGTCTTTCTTCTAGTGTAAATGGATGGGTGGATGAATGAACAGAAGGATGGATGGATAGAAAGAGGGATGAACATAAGGATGGATGGATGGATGGATGGATGGATGGATGGATGGATGGATGAATGGATGGGTGGATGAACAGTTGGATGGATGAACAGAAGGATGGATGGATGGATGGATGGCACTGGGTAGATTGAAAAGCAGAGGGATTGATGGATGGGTGGATGGATGGATAGATGGATGAACAGAAAGATGAATAGATGGATAGACAGGAGGATGGATGGATGGATGGATGGATTGACGGACAGAAGAATGGGTGGGTAGTTGAATTGAAGGATGGATGGATAAATAGACAGATGAATGGGTGGGGGTTGAATAGACAAATAGTTGATTGGGTGCGTGGATAGATGGATGGATGAACAGAATGATGGAGAGGTGGATGGATGGATTGATGGATGGAAGGAAGGAAGGATGGATGAAAAGAAGAATGGGTGGGTGTATAAATTGAAGTATGTATGGATAAATAGATGTGTTGGTGGGTGGATGAATGGATAGATGGATGGGTGGTGGGTATATAGATGAATGGGTGGGTGAAAGGATATATAGAAAGAAAGAAAGAAAGAAAGAAAGAAAGAAAGAAAGAAAGAAAGAAAGAAAGAAAGAAAGAAAGAAAGAAAGAAAGAAAGAAAGATTATATAGGCTAGGTCCAAATTTTACATTCTGATTATACATAAATTCCTAGTTTTTATTCAAGGCTACTTTTAAGTTCGTATTGATTTGACAGTGAATGGGACAGCAAAGTATAACACAATCAGATTCACTCTTATCCAAAACAATTATTGCATAACCATTAAAGAAATGGCGGTGTCGTAATCAGATGACTAATGGTTGGACATCAATCATAAGAGCTCATTGCTTGTATTGAGCATGTGTCCTCAGCATGCACTGACCCCACACCGGCCTTCGTGCTTTCTCCAATTCTTGCTAATAACCAACACAAACATCAGCCTGAGGATCGGGAGGAGCGCCAGGGTCAGATAACAGTTCTGTACTGTTTACATACACCGTATATAACCTGTAAATACGAGGGGAGGGTTCATCCTCACTGCCCTGCTAACACAGACCATGTGTGGTAGGACAGAACCCCCCCTCTAAAGCACGTCAATCAGCAGGCCAGGGGAGCCCAGATCATAACAGGACAGCCAGAGAATCCCCCGAAATGCACACAAGTACAAACATGTACACGCGTTTAAAACATTTATCTAGAAACAGACACTCTTCAAATACAAAGACGCTGACCAACATAGAGAGAGTCTTAGAGAGTCAAATAGATGTTTAGCAGGGCGTCCTAAGCTGTAGGAGCTGTAAATGTAAATTGAAACATGCAATTCTGTTTGCTATTAAAGAGACCCTGTAAGTATTAAGTATGTGGTCTCCTACAATACAATTAAAGAAAATATTATTTTGCTTGTTTGTCCAAACGACTTATTTCAAATATGCTTAACACAATTCTTTTTTTTTTTTTTTTTTGGACTACTTACAGTTTTTCTTGTTTGCTTTGACCTGGTTAAAGAAACTAGGATCCACTTTATTTTCATTATCACTATCCCAGCAGAGCAGAAGACAGGTCTTGCAAATGTGTAAACACTTTCTAATTGCGTTGATACATTTTCCCCACCGTTTTTCAAAACAGTTAACACGGATGTCATTCAAGCAGTCCAAACTCCATTGTTTTAGTTATGATAACCAAACAGAAACCATCTACTCCTAACCATTAGAAACTACCAATATCAGTATGAAATTACTGAAGCACCGGTTTGACACTCCACACAAATGTTCAATTAGCAATCAGTCTGCAAACATTAAAATGAAAGGTTTGTGTTGTTCTGTGCCAGCATAGATGGGGAAGGTCAATAGTGGCCTATACTTTCAATAAGTTTGACTGTATTTTTGTTTACGTGTGTTTTCTCTAATATTTACAGTATTTTATTACTTTTTGTGTCCGTTTTTTTTTTTTTTTACAGTATTTCAGTTTTAAGCCACAGTTTGAATTCAATATAAATTTAATCAAAGCCTTTCTTATTCTGGATCCAATTCTTTGCAAAATGGCAATTTTGACAGCCCAAATAGAAAGACAACAAATGCCATTGGCAATAGGCTACAATGGCAAGCAATGGTGCACTGATTCACACTGTGTTCTGTATTTTGTATTTTGTTGTCCATTGTGTACTGATTAAATTAAAGGTAAAACTAGCTTTTGTTGCATATTTTAAATGTTTTGACACAGTATGTGCATTTTGAAAGCAAAATGTGTCATTTTGACCATGAGTGCCGCTGTTTAGGCCTGTTTGTTAACTATTTTGAAAATGTGGAGTTTCAGGTGATGGCTGCATCAAAGCAATCAAGAAAAATGGAACTCCCATATAAACAACCTGCTGACTCAAAATTTTGCTTTTGGTGCACACTCGAGTGCGAATTGCTACATTCACGCCTGCCCAAATGAACCACACCAAGAGGGAAAATGAACTCTAGTGCGATTCAAGCTATCTAAATAAGGTAGGTGTAAAAACACCCTTAAATTTCTCATGATTTACATTGGCAGGTTATATGTTTTCTTACATTGTCTGACTCTGGTCGTTCAGATGTTTGGGCCTGAAGAACTGTTAACTGGATTCTGTGAATTTGTTTGATATTAAAAGAGACCCTAGTGTTAAGGCTACACTTCGAGCTGATAGTCAGCAACTGGGCAATGTCGAGCTGTCGGTGAGTGTGTGTCAGACATGTTTGTTGGTGTAGTCCACACATCGCCACTCGTCTGTTCACTTTCAAAGGGTTATAGAATTGGCATAAGTTATCTGTGAAAGAAAGCACTCTGATTGGCTGTGCATATTCGAATCTTAGTGACAAAACCAAGCAAACGACACAGGTCAAGAGGGAAGCCAAAGAATCTAGTTGTTATTTCAATGTGTAATGAGACCATGTCTGGGCATTACAAGTCCCAGCAGGCTTAGCGCCATGCAAGGAAGTGTTGTTGTTTATGTGCGGACACTTTATTTCCTGATTGCGGCGTAAATTAACAACAGGTTGTAGATTGCTCAGCGCTATATAAGTGAGTCAAAGTTTGTTTGCCATTTTGCTGTCGTTGTTGCATTCTGGTCGCGGCACGTAAAGGCCGGTAGGTAGTAAGTTTATTTGTGTGATGTGCGGTCTCTCTCTCTTTCTCGCGGAGTTTCCTTTTTTTAACGCATGCATAAACTGACATTTATAGAGTCCACACTTCACGTGAGGGGTAGCTGATGAGCAAACAACATTTAATGCTGCCAGATCTTCATAGCGAACTTATTTAAAGAGGTAGTTGTTTTATAATTTTAATAAACCGTTTTTAGTGTTGTGTTTTAATGATATTATCCTTTTTATTTCTAGTGCTATTACGGGATCATTGTTTGCTGATTGTTGCCTGAGTGTCAGCATGGGAAATTAAGGATCTTAGAGGTATTGTTTAAAACAAAGAAGGGTTTTTATCTTTTAATGCATGTTTTATTTATAGGATGTTTTATTGTGTTTGATTTCTTTATATTCTGAGTTTCTGTGTTGTAATAAACTGTGTTTCCCCTTTTTAGGGATGCACGGTTGCCGTTTACTTTAGACTTACAATAATATTTTTGTTATTGAGTCTTTGTTGTTGACTTTTGTTGTATGCTAATTTGGGTTGTTTATTATGTTGCTAGGTTGAAAACAATTTGTATTTTCCTTTGTTAAACTTTTCTTTCTTTTGTAGGTTCTGTTTTGGATTTGCTTTACCATCAGTGGCCACTGGGTTCCCTGCACTGTGTGGATGGCGGTGGAGAAAAGGTGGTTGGGATTGTGTGGTGATTTGGTCACTGTTGATTTTTGTGTTTTTTAGGTTGCAGTGTGATTGCTGTGAGCTGAGTGTGGTGAAAACACTGCTGCTTGGGTACCTCATCTGTCCTCACTTTCTGGGTAACCGGTGGCCATTAGTGGTTTGTTTTTTCTTTTCTTTTATTTAGTTTATTTACTTTTTTTTCCTCCTTATTTGCAATAAAGATGGAGACAATTTGTATATTACAACTTGTGGAATAAAATATAATTGTCCTCCTAATTGTAAGTCACTTCATTTACCCTCTGCTAAATCATTAACACTGACAAAAGTCATCTGGTCACAAATGCATTTCTTCAATGATTGCAAATGACATGGATTAATCAGCTCTATCTCATGAAGAAGTATATCTTTTTTAGATATTGTCAGAAAAACTAATTAATATACATTCAGATGACTTTAAGCATATAAAAAAATTCAAGTCCACTTCAATTTTAGCTTACCCAATTCACCTATACCACATGTTTTTGGACTTGTGTGGGAAACTAGAGCACCCAGAGGAAACCCACGCAAACATGGGGAGAACATGCAAACTCCACAAAGAAATGCTAACTGATCTAGCCGAGGCTCAAACCAGCTACCATCTTGCTGTGAGGCGAACGTGCTACCCACTGTGCCACCGTACAGCACTTTTTTATTCTTATTCTTGTCCTGTCATTTATTTTATTGCAAAATTATTATTTTTTTAATATTATAATATTAATATTCTGTGCTGTAATTGGTTATTTAGCAGCTGTCACATCCCCTCACCAACTCGTTCCCTCAGCTCCAACCATCGTTCTCCTTCACCAGCCACCTCTCATCACACTCGAGTTCTAATGAGACACACCTGAACCAGCAATCTCCAACCCCTATAAAGACTCCCCGTTTCTAGCCATACAACGGCTGGAATTGAAGTCCATTGATTCACCTCACCTCCTCCCTGGATCACCTTTTTCTGTAGATGTTTTCCGTTCACCTATGGATTTTTCTCCTGTCCTGTGGATGCACAGGCTGTGATTAAGGGAAATGACTTTATACACTGATGGTTGAATGAAGATGATCCTTGTTTACATTGCAAACAACATACTAGTCTGCTCTCCATCCAAGAATATCACTTACCTGCTTCTCCTGTTGAACAATTCCCTATGTGTTTGAATAAATTGATGAAAAGAGAGAACCATCCTCGTCCTCATTGTGTGACCGTGACAGCCGCAAAAACAACACTTTTTAAAATAGAAGCAGTTGTCTTGTGATTTTTCTAAACTAGTAGATTTGAATTTAATAAATGCATTACTGTGTAACCATGATCATTCTTTAAACTATAATCGTACAACCACAATCTAAGTGTTGCATTTCTAATTGTTTTTCAGTTTAAAATTTAACATTTGAATGTAAAAGCCTACTTGAGTAATACACTAATTTTGTTGTGCTTCAAAATACAACATTTAAGTGTTTATAAAAAAGGCCACACTGCATAATGCAGTATGTAGGTTCGAAATACAACATTCACGTTTTAATGTGGAAAAAGGCAATGTGGATGTCTTAAGGAGCAAAAATACAGCATTTGGGTTCTTGTATTGCTGTTGTCATCACTTCTCATCAGTCATGTATCTCCAGCCCCTCATTTGGAATGCTTTTCATGAACTGGCCCCCATGAAAACTAATTAAATAGCCCTGCTGTACATTCTTGTTTTGGTCTACTTTGTGTGTTCACATACAGCATTTTGGTCCAGACTTGATTAGACAGATTTCCATCATCGTTTCCATCATTGCTAGTTCTTTGACATTTAGCTTGGTGTGTTCCATACAAAACATTTGTTCTTGGAGGTCTGCTACAAAAGGTTTAAATCTATCCAACAGGCCATTGCTTGTATTGAGCATGTGCCCTCATGGGTAGAAAACCCCCCCAAAATACCCCAGTCTGAGCATACAGGCAAACATGTACACGCTTTTAAACATTTCTCTAGAAACAGACACTATTTAAATACAGAGAGCAGCAGGCAAAGACACTGACAAACATAGGAGTCTAAGGGGGTCAAACAGATGTTTAGCAGGGGGCTTAAGAGGACTTCGTTTTTTGGGCTTAGGAGATGAAGGAATGTTAAATGGAGAATGCAAATGGGTTTAGTGTTAAAGAGATCATAATATTAAGTATTAAATATTATGTTTAAGAGGTTAACTTCAAGACATTTGCATTCATACAGAATCAGAAATGTTTTATTTTTTCATAATATACAATGTAGCATCAGTTCTTTCCCTATAGTGTCTGAAATGGTTTATTTAATGATCACCTTTCTGATGACGGGTCTGATGTGATAGGTCGAGTACTTAAATTCTTATTGTTTAATCCGCATAGTTTGGAATTTCATGTAAATTGCCTGGAAAGTGGAAATTTGATATTTATTATTATAGGACTTAAATTACTCCACGTAAAACTTTATATTTCTTTAATGTGATTCGGAATGTCCTGGGCTTGGTTATTTTTGGAACATGGAAAAGCTAAATTCGTCTTCAATACTAAATATTTCAGTCCCTCTCTCCCCCTCTATTTTCATTGTAAATGATTTTTCTCATATGCAGCTTTACAAAACTCAGAAGTGAGGGTTTTTAGCTGGCTTGACAGCAGCCAAGAAAATTGTTGTGACAAGATGGAAGCCTCCACATTCTCTTAATCACCATCATTGGGTTCTAACCTTTATATATATTGTATATTTGGAAATGTCCACTGCTCATATTCATGGTGCAAGAGAAGACACCATCAGACATCAAAAAGTAAAAACTTTTGGTTCCAGGCCCATCAGCCCCATTCCACCACAATTTATAATTTGTTTATATTGTTAATTTTTTATAATGTCTTTGTCATTTATTCTACAGTTTTTTATTTTATTGTCACTATTTTCATTGTTGGCATTATTATTACATTATTATTATTATTTATTTTATTTTTATTTTTTGCACAGTACTATATGCTGATCGTCTACGGCATGTGTTGTTGTGTTTATATAATTCAAAATAAAACAAAATGATATGTTGGAAAAAAATATATAATAATAATAATAAGTTATAATAATAAGTAATAACAATATAATAATAAGTGATCCGTTAATTTTTAGTCAAAGTAAAGAGCTGGTATTAATTTTTTGCTGAAATGTTGTAAATAAATATTGAGAAAAATAATAATTCATAATAATTAAGTCCTTGTCATTGTTTCAATTGTTTAAAACCTTAACAAATATCAGGATAAATTAAAATATAAAAAGGTGACTTTCCACTCCTCCATAGAGCATTGTCTAATCACAAAAAGACTTTGCGTAATATCGTTTTTAGAATCTCTCTATGTTTTTCAGTAAGACAGCAGTGCCAGTGAAGAACTTTGAGCTGAAATATGAGGCGTCATAAAAATCAACGCGGTCAAAAGTGGCTTTATTTTTAAAAAAATCCTCTCATCTGAGCGAGAGTAGTTCTTCATGTTTAACGGCTTTTAATTGCCACATGTAATGTCAGTGTTACCGTAAGTGGCCTTCTTAGAACCGTCAATCTGGATGGTAATGATTATGGTACACTGTCATATGACTGTTTTTCTATCATTCTTGTGTAAATGTGTGTTGATATCCCGAGCATAAGTGGGGCAGATGTGATATGAGCTGGCTGGTGTTGTAAAGAAGCGTTGTGTTCATAGAGAAGCATCAACTGCTACATGTACATAAATCATAATGAAGTGTGGATGTGTGTCAGTGTATATTTATAACTGATCGAGTTGAAGCAGCTTTTACTGCCACATATTGATGAAGCCACAAACCATTGCAGATGTCAGCCACCTGTGATGCTTTATTAAAAGTAAGCCGGATTTAGCAATTATTCTGTAACCCTCATAGTACATTCAAAAAAAATGAGTACTACTTTTGCAGTTCTTATGCAGAATCATTATGTTGTAAAACAGCCATACTTATTTTTTTATGTGGTGATCAGAGGCTTAAACCTTTGACACTTTAGATTACACCGATGTAATTAGAAACAAATAATGTTTATTATAGATTAAGACAAAAGCAAATCATAAAATATATGGTTTCTAAAATACACACTGATATCTATTAATACATCAGTAATTATTTTTACATATAATCGGATGATGTGCTTTAATCACATCAAGGTTATAATAGTTTTGGATTTTTTATCTCTTTTAGTTTTATTTCGTTTTGACTTTTTGTTTTCAAATTCAGCTGGTTTTAATTCGTTTTTAGAGGTAGATTTACTAGTTTTTATTAGTTTCTATGTTTTGAAATTGCTAGGTTTTAGTTTAGCTTTTACTGGTTTCAGTATTAGTTTTATTTCTTTTTTTTATAAATTACAATATTTGTTAGGTGCAAGATACAAAACCATCAGAAATTGTAAAACAACTCAATTTTTGAAACCTGTATTTAGAGGACACATGAACATTACCATCTACCCATCCTCAAATTCAAATACAACAACCCACAAAATATCAGGCCTAAGTACTGTTCCATATGAGTGCAAGGCTGCCTCTGGGGTTAGATACACATTAGTGATAGAAAGTTTAGATCTTTTCCGTAAACTGGATCTTTTGTGACAATCATCGCATGTTAGGAGTCAACATACCAAAAATATAGTCAGCAATCATATTTTGAGTCAGAACATCACCATAATCTGAAAAATTTCTTGAAATTAAGTTTTGCAACCCAACTGAAGCATGATTCACTTATTTAAATTCCATTAAGATTTTATGTTATGAAATAAACTTCGCCACATCCTCTCATTTAAGCCCTGCGATGCAGTTGATCAAGTTTAGTTCAGTCTCAACAGCCTGTCATGTACTGTTTGTGTACAGTTCACTGAATCACACATGCGCCTTATTATGCATTCACCCCTGCTCAAATCTGATCTCAGTGTACTGTTCTAATAACTAAATAACTCGAGAAATCGGTTTATTTCGAGTCAGAGGGGGTATCAGCCATGTTAAAAAGTAAGTCTTTGTGGATACGTGCTTAGTAGAGACGCAAATCATTTTAAATGATTCAGTTCGATTTGGTTAACTAATTCAACCGGTTCGCTTGGAAGATCCGATTAAAAAGAATGACTAATTCGCGATCAGGATCATTAATATGAAAAGAACAAAAATGCTCAAAAATGTGTTAAATTAATACTTTCAAGTGTCTGCTTGAGCCATATTTAATGGTGTCACTGTGCTGCTGTCATGTCCAGTCATTGTTTTTGTTGCAGGA